AAAATAACTCCTCGGAATGGTAAATAGTAATCTTTTTACAGTAACCTTACCAAAATATCATTTACAATGAAACTCTAAGCAATTCTAACTATATACAACGATTAAATTTACTTCGTAACGAGTGTGTACGAGGTTAAAATTTTTTCCCGCCTTATTACTAACCTAACCAAATACCGAATCAAATAATAGAACGATTAAAATATGTAATTTACCACGTGTAATAGCTTGTAGTTCATTAAGTTCGGAATGCTAAGTCTGTAAAAAATATTCTTTTCTACACGACAGTTCCCCTTGGTTCCATTATTTTACCACGTGACAAGTAATTTCCAGGAAAAACCGGGCCCGAAACAGAAGACGACCATTTTTCCCGCGCATTATCCGACGTTCCACGTGCAAAGAAGCGAAAAAAGGAGATAGATTAAAAGTAGGAGCGACGACGCTCGACATCGAGTAGCGTAGAAGCATGAAGCGTGCGACGCGACGCGACACGCAGCTTCGCGGAGACATGAGAGAAGCCGACAGGGGCTAGGGGTCTGTGAGCTATTTGTACACCGAATGGAAAACGCGGCTCGACTTGCCTCTCCAGACGAAAGGAACACGCTGGACCAGGAGAACGGGACGTTTTCTTAATTATCACGTTCCACCCCTTTCCCTTTTCTCCTATTTGCTGATCCACAGGATCTATCATCGTGAAGATACGAAGTCTACGAGATAGTAGGGCCAAATTACTCTTAATGTAAATTTGAATTGGAATATTTGAATCTGAAAGTTTAAATTTGAATACTTCGAGTTTAATTGGCTGAATTTTAATTTCAGAGTTTGAATATATAAATTTGAATATTTGAATTTGTATACTCCAGTTAGAGGAAACGAAGCGAGCACGAGCAAGAAGCAAGCGAAAGAAGGGTTGCCCGCGATCCTCTTAAGCGCTTCCTCCGGCGGTTTCACGTTTCTCAAAGTACGAAAAGTTATTCCATCACTGTAGTTACTTCAGCTCGTTCTTGGGAAATCGTGCGGCTCGACGTTGACGCTGCACCTTCCAGCCGTACGAAATCTCGGCCCATTAATCGCGCGTGCTCTTCTAATACATTCTATTCTATTCTAAGCGAAGATACGTGTAGCGCGTGTTCCCTCTCCGTAGGGTTTATTTACCCGTTAATTTATTAGCGTATCTTCGTCATGGCGTAGCTCGTAATCGAGCGTGACGGAGTTCGCGAGATCGGCGAGCAAAGCTAACTCTCGCCCCCAGAAGTCAGCCGTATTTTAAACAGAGAAAGGTTGAGCTGGACACACCATTCTCTCGCTCATTCGAGTCTTCACCTTCTCTCTGCAAAAACCCCTGACGTATATTTGCCGTGGAAATTTATACGTCTATTCACGGCCAATGTCTGTACACTCCTCTGATATTAGAAGCTACTTTGACAAGCCTTGTGAGCTTCTAACAAATTACCCTCTTGTCTTCCTTATTTCATTTTTATCACTGATAATTAATAGCCTATCTGCTAATCTTCTTACACCTATTATACATTTACATACGGTAAATAGACTCTTTATTTTTTCTTTCGTGACCGAAAGACGTCTGATTTTTTTTCTTCGAGGAAGAAGGAACGAAAAATCTGCCCCTTTCTTTTCTCGCGGTTAATAAGACCAACCGCGCCCTTAATGAGAACGTGGAAAACCGACACTGAACGACTTCCAAAGAAGCGGTTCTGTCGCTCCTTTGACTAGGCAGTAATAGTGTATCGGGGCGGAGTATCACACCGCAGAGTAGAAAGGGGATATTCGTATTTCAAAGGGACGGTTCGTCATGCCGCAACGGGACTCATTATGTTATATGCGCGTCTAAACGTCACCAGAAAAACACACTTCCAAGCTTATACGTCGACAGGAGGTGCCGATTATTGTTACCCAAGCTGTTACATGGAAGACTCACTTATCAGGTGTCAGTCTTTAACCCTTTCTTCGCCTCGTTTTGCTTCGCCTCGTCGCTTATTCAATTGAAACGGAAACTTGTAAAATTCGAAAAAATGATCGTAACAGCGTCTGATAGATTGTTATTGTAAAAATGTATTTCGCAGAGTTATATCGAAAATTGGACATAGAACTTTAATTAGGATCAATTGTAAAAGGATCGAGTTGATGCTTTTCCATTGCGAAACGTGGTTTATCGTACGGATTCTATCTAAATGGCGCCTGAATTCCGCTTGATATCACCTTCCATTGGAAAAACTATCATTGGTTATTTTGACCGAGGCTCGTGAGCGCCGGGAACGCCGAGTGGGTGTCTAATTTCGTCGAAGAGGAGGGATTTCACGCTCGATCAACGCTGATTGGACAGCGCCGACTCGTTTGCTTTTATAACTCGGCGCGCGCGCGCGCCGATACCTACACAAAAGACAACACCACGCGTGTACTGTTATCTGCTTCCTTATCGTACAACAGAAGCTGTTGGATATTCAGCTGAGAAAGCGTTTCTATCGTTTGTCAATCTCACTTTGTTCTGATTTTATCGTTCAAGTTATTACCAATCTATTTGTTCCAAATTTGTTTTTTTTTTTATTAAAGTCGAACTAGAAATATTATTTCACTTAATTAACGCGGTCTATACCACGTGTGCCATCGAGGGACACACGAGAGTTTTCGAAAATGGAATTTTAATCGAAAGAAAACAATTATTTTTCGATTTGATGCTTGCGAATGTGAAAAATTCAGTCCGTGTCGATATTTTTCAATAACTAAACGATTTTATCAGGTAGTTTAGGCAGGTACCATCGGTGATAAACGAGAGTTTTCAAAAATGAAGTTTTAATTAGAAAAAAAGAGTTACTCTTCGATTCGATGTTTGTTTATATCGATATTTTTCGATAATGAAATATTTTAACGTGAACTTTCTTTCAACACTCCGGTGAAACTTGCAATTCTGCCGTGACAAGGAACTCGTGAATTACGATTGAAGTATGCGTTTCAAAGAGAGAGAGTTCGAATCGCACTTTCTTCGTGGAACGTTGTTTCTTTGAAAAACAAGGGAGGAAACGATTAATTTAGTTGTAGGCTTGTACGCATTAAGAACGATATCGCAGCTCATTAAACATGGGGACGAACATTATCTTTGGTTACACAGAAACTCTTCTGATTATTCGGAATGGAAGCATCAATCAAAACCGTTCCACACGTTATCGGGTAAAGTTACGCGCGAATCGATGCACACTTATATCTGGTTGCGTGTGTTTTACAAGAGCCGTTAACAAGGATACGCGATAGTGCATGTAATTCTCGCGACACACAATTATTCTAACCGTCGCCATATAAAATCAGCAAGCGTGTTTTACGATCGTCACATTCTTTCCGATCCGTTCTCTACGAGCCCTTTCATCCGTTTATAGTTCGATGCGAACAGCGAAGTCGAAGAGACGCTGATTGTAAATAGCTAATTGACATCTTTATTGAGGCAACTTCGCTGGTACATTGTTGCAGCCACTTGTAGTTCAATGTTTCAACGTGGAACTGAAATATTCCAATTGAGATTTCGGGATATTTTAGCTGGAGCGATTGGAAATGGATTTAATTGACTCCGGAATTTAAATATCGCGAATTGAAGAATTTTAGTTTTGCTAATTTGAGAATTTGAATATTGCGAATTTAGGAATTCGAGGTGAAGAATTTAAATATCGCGAATTGAAGAATTTTAGTTTTGCTAATTTGAGAATTTGGATTTTAGTAATTTGAGAATTTGAATATTGCGAATTCAGGAATTTGAAGTGAAGAATTTCAATTTTAATAATATGAGAATTTCAATTTTACGAATTTGAGAATTTTAGTTTTAATAATTTGGGAATTTGAATATTACGAATTTAGGAATTTGAAGTGAAGAATTTAAATATCACGAATTTGAGAATTTTAGTTTTAATAATTTGGGAATTTGAATATTACGAATTTGAGAATTTCAATTTTAATAATTTGAGAATTTGAATATTACGAATTTAGGAATTTGAAGTGAAGAATTTAAATATTACGAATTGAAGAATTCCCATTTAAAACTTTGAATATTTGAATTTAACAATTTAACTCTCCCCCTTTCCTTACTCAGCTTCTTCAGCCTTGCTTGGACCATTTCTGGAGCGGCGATCAAACTGAATACATACCTTGTGTTCTTCGATCGATTGGAAACTCGCGATTACGCGAGCACACGGACAACTAAATCTCAAGATGACTTCGTCGGTTTTTCTTTCATTCCCCTTAAAACGAACTTTCCCTTCGCATCAAGGAAGTCTTTGCTAATTACACACCAAGATCGCCGCGAGAAGATTAACTTAACAGGCACAAGTTACCGCGTTCTCCAACAGAAAGCGAAGGAAAAAGAGAAACAAATAGAAAGAAATTCTTCCTGAATTTTCACTCCTGTTTAACCGAATCAGACATTTCCGTCTTTCGGATAATTCGTATCGTTGGAAGAAAATTGAACGTTGGAAAGCGTCGTGCCAAGAAGGAGCGGAATTGCAGAGAATCTAAAGCACCGTTGTATTCTTGAACTCTTCAGCGTGCCAACTGAGCCGTGAGCTAGGAGGTAGATTAATGTCCGAGGCGAGAAAAAGATTTCGGTTAATTATAGTGATGGAGGGACGTAAAGAGAGACAGTTTGTCCGCGATGCATCGTTACCAGACTAATCTTTTCGACATCTCCGTGTAATTCGACTCTCATCTTTTACTAATCTCTTCTTCATATATTTCCATCAAGCTCGACAAACTTACCTTACCTTGCTATCCGGTTTTTATCGTATACTCGAATTAAATCTGAAAAAGATTACGGTGATAAAGGGAGGAAGGTTACACATACACACACACATATGTCGTTTAACTTCAAGGAAAATATATATTTCCCAAAATGACAAAAATTGCATTCCATAAAAAAGCATGGCAGAGGACTATAGTCGCTCAATCGTGACACGATTGTACACAATTTATCAGTTAAATAATATCAATAGCGTTCCATCGGTCCAGAGACTTCTTTAAACGTTTCCTTTAACAATGATTACATCATTAAACCTACGCAAAGATCGAACAAACGTACAAAAAAAAAAAAAACGGGCTGAAGGATTGAACAGTGTGTAGATCCTTATTATTATTATTTTTTTTCTCTATAAAATTACAACAATCTTCTTCTCTCACAGTCGTAGAATTGCTTTTCCTTATGGCACTCGAAAAAAAGGCACTTTTGGCGAATGACGATGATAAAAATACATAATACTGGTGACGATGATATACCGTTCTCGCCTGTCTACAGAGATCCAATCACGCTTTACAAGCTTCAATTCACAGTCACTCTTACAAACTTACTACGAACTTCTCCGAAATAGTCTCAGAAAATTCTTCAACATCCATATTCTCCCACTCAAGGACCACTGAACATCGTCAGAATTCTCTCTCATCCGCACGTTGTATCCCAAATTCGTTACAAACTTCTCAGATATAGTCTCAGAAAACTCTACAACATCTCAAGGACCACCAAACACCATCGAAATTTCTCTTTCATCCACTCATCGTTATCCCGATCCTCCCAAATTCCTTACAAACTTCTCAAAATACAGTCCGAGAAAGTTCTTCTTCAACGTCTACTCTCAAGGACCACCAAAACACCATCGAAAATTCTCTCATCCACTTCTTCTAATCCCAAATTCCTCTCAATCTTCTCGCGAACAGTCCCAGAAAGAAATGTTCTCCTCTTCAGCGACGATCCTCTCATCGCTCTTCATCTTTCTCCTGAAACTTCTCTAATCCTTTCTCAATTACAGGGACTGGCTGGCTGGCTGTTCACCGTGGACGACTGCATCATGATCGACTGCACGGTGAGGACAGGTGACGTGGTCGCGACAGGTGTCACGTTGTCCGAGTGATGATGATGGTGATGATGGTAGAGAGCTGACGCGTAATACTGCTGATGGTGATGATGATGGTGGTGCGGATGATGGTAACCGCTGGTGGTCTCTTCGTTGTTGTTGTTATTGTTACTGGTCGAGTTGTCGTTGCTTTGATGATGATGATGATGGGGATGGGGATGGTGGTGATGGTTGTTGTTGACCGTCGCGCAGATCGGCGACGTTGGCGACGGGGATGACTGAGAATTGGCGAGATTGCAACCGCTGGCGAGGATGTCGTGGACCGTGTGAGGACTGGGCCACTGTAAACCAGCCGGTGTGGACGTCTGATGAGCGATTCCAGTGTGATGAACTGTGGTCGGAGAGGACGGAGACAGCTTGCTAGGGGTCGTCGGTCCAACTGGAAACGCACCGGTACCAAAAAATTGGTGGATGAGGGGACACAGGTTCGTTGGAATTCTGTTATATTTTTCAGCGATCAGGATGGAAGAAAGAGACGCGACTGTTGCCGGATATCCCGAGAGCTCGCTGCTAGAACTGAACGCATACTTCAAGTTGCGGATACTTGACCGCAGCCTCGAACCTAAACTGTTCTTCCACCAATCTGTCACGCACCGTGCTCGGTACCTTGGCTTTTCGATCGAGAACTTTTTTCGTATCAACATGTTCAGTGTCGGAAAAGTAGAAACAGAAAGTTAATTAGTTTTCTGTCGTTCCTTGGAATTTTTCATTTTAATGGAGGAAGCATGAATTAGTGTTAACACGTTCGCTACCACGGTTTACATTCTTAATATCTATATTTTTTTCAGTTTTACATAGTACGATAGATGCCTGCACTTATACACACCTAACAGTGCATTTTTTATTATGTATTACAGGTAGATAGTACCGTTCTATCGTGGGAATTGGTCACACATATGTGACGCTGGTAGCGAACGTGTTAAATAAATAAAACGAACCTTGTAAAATATAGCTAAACTTTTCACAACACGTTCCTTAGATTGAAATGCTTCTCTATCGGACAGTGAACGTGTTAATCCCGGAAATATCAAGGTAGACTACCCAGTGACTGTGATCTACAGCGCGAGCGCGAAGCAAGCCTATGTACTCCGAAAGTTCTCGTTCGAAGGAAGAAGAACAAGAAACGTAACACAAGAACGTAGTAAACACCTGCTACCAACCTGGATGATGATGATGATGATGGTGATGCGTAACAGCGGGTGGAGGCGTCGCGTGATACGGCGTCGGTGGATACGGTACAGGACAAAGCGCAGCTCCTGCGGCTGCAGCCGCCGCGTACAAATGGTGATGATGATGATGATGCGCCGGATGATGCGGATGATGGTGTATAGCTGTGGCAGCGCCGACTTTGTTCCTCAGTATCCTCGAGATGCTGCTGACCGATGGCACGTTGTACTTGTCGCAAACACCGTCAGACAACAAACGATCCCTGATCTCCCACGCGAATATCCCCGGATCCTTGAGCTTCAGCTGTTTGATGTACTGGACGACCTTAGGCGTGGTAACACGGGGCTTGCTACCACCGATAGCACCGGGCAGTATGCTGCCTGTCTCGTGGTAACGGGCCAAGATCTTGCTGACACAACCATGGCTGACCCGCAGCTGCCGCGAGATGTCGCACGGCCTGATACCAAGCTGAGCAAGCTCGACTATTCGCAACCTGACCGCGTTTGGCAAGGGACGACCGTTAACGAACACTCCGCCAAGCTGGTTCACCTCACCGTACTGTTGCTGCTGCTGCTGCTGGTGAGGCTGCTGCTGCTGTTGCTGCTGCTGTTGATCTGCACCGAGTTCGCTCGTGTTACTCTCTGTTCGTGGAGAACGAATTTAACGGGCTGAGGCAGAGGTTTGCCGGAGGTGTGGATTCGTTCGTGCGAGAGTTTCTGCGTTTTTTGGGGGGGGGGGTGGTGTCTTTTTGGGGTACTATGTTTCTTTGACTCTTGGATGGAGGAGGAGTATGACTGTTTGTATTGGTTAACGCTAGGTTTTGCGGAGATTTGTACCCGTTTCTACGGACACGCGTCAATTGATCGCAAATTTTTTTTTAAAAGTAATTTATTTTATATGAAAAGAACGTATTATGTACTGTTAACTTGTAAACGAAACTATGCGATGTTATAGATTTATGTAAGATTTATGTTAAGCATGAGTGGTAGGAGAGAAATGTAAACGGTTTCTGTAATTCCCAGAAACTCGAAACGCCAGTGAAATTCGAAATGCGCCAAAATGACGCGTCCCGTAAACCTAGTGTTAAATGTATTTATGTGAGTTTATTGGTTGTATAGGAGTCTATTGTGTTCGAAGGGTTAATTGAAATATTTCTTTCTGTTTTTTGTTCTCGTTTTGGGTCAGAAATAGGATTGCGTTAACGCTTGGAACCAGTCGAAGAAGAAAAATTAGACGGACCCTTTCAGGGTGGTTCGATTAAAAGTGACCCTCGGGTCCATAAAAAAGTCGATAAATCCCTCAGTTTCCACTCGGTGAACCCCTCTATTTAAGATACGCGTAACGAAGAGAGCAACACGATTTTGATTTATAAAATCGGCGTAGGTACTAATAGGAACGCAAAGGGACCACGTTACTTACTCCTCCGTCGATTGCAACGTGTCCGAGACACTAAATAACGCGACTACACCTGGCGCTTGGGGCTCGTTTTAATGAGATGCAGATGTATGTCGGTTGTAGCAACCCTTAATTAGCGAAGCAATGCCCTAGCAATTGCCTCTAACTGCATACCAAACCCACCTAAATTCCGTTCGCCGGTAAGCGAAGACAACAACCCGTTACGGGCAGGCATAATAAGAGGGCTATCTTTAACTCCAGCGCGCTTTCCTCGCGTGTTCCTCCTCTTCGCCGCGAAACACGTTAATTGTCTGTTATCAGAGAGACGGGGAAAATTATTGGAGAGAGTTGTCGAACTAGTGTTTAAAAATGTGAAATAAACGGGCTGCGGAAAATGTAAACAGAAAATTTTCAGACCTCGAATCATCGAATATTAACCCTTTCACGACTGAATTTTTTGTTCTTTAAATTTCTTATCTGTCTACGATCATGGATAGATAACAGTCTATCGTTGCGTCTGTAAGGTAGGCTTAATTGAGATCAATTTTGCTTGAGGGATGCAAAGGGTTAAAAAGTACGTCTTTTGGTTTTTAAATTTATCTATTTACCGATGGATGCTTGATCAATTTTTGCCTAGGATATTCAAAGGGTTAAAAAGAAATGAAGTACGATTTATGCAACGTTCGACTACTGTATTGCACCTACGATAATTCTAATAACACCGTGTTTCTGTGATTATTAAATTAATTTCAACTTTCAATTTCCAAAAAAATTCAGAAAAAAGTCATTTCGTACTTATCCGTAGATTCGAAGCTTCCCTTCATCGTCACGATGAACAAATAAAAGTACAAAGACATCGACGTCCTCCATTCACAACTTAGACCTCGCAAACATTAACATCTTCGAGGTCCTTTGATGTCGAGAGAGGATCGAATCTCTCCCTCTAGCCGTTTGCATCTATTTTGAAGAAGCGTAATGGATCTGGAGAGGAGGTGGACGGATATCCGCGAAGGAAATACGTGTCTGTTTATGGAACATGAACGAGGACTTTCTCTCGCGGAAGGGGACATTTATGTCTGCTCTTCTCTTTCTAAGCGATCTTCTTCTCTCCCTACGAGTTGATGGTTACGTCGGTTTCCCTTTCTCGTTCGTTCCTCTTTTCTACTTACGCGTTACGGCCAGAACAGGAATAAATAAGAGGAGGAAAGGAGGGCTGTACGTGATTCCTGGAAGAAGAGTTCCGTCGGCGACGCCGCCAACCGTAGAGACGCGTTTTTGCCAGGCCATCGGCCACCATTTTTTTTCATCCTCCACATCCCCTCAGCTCTCCCCGTAATGGCGGTTTCTTGGCAGAGGCGCGAAACACGCGCCCTTTACGCCACATTTCAACCATCAACGGTATATCGATGGCGTAGAGGAAAGGGGCAGCCTTTGAACCAGCGTTACGAGGAAGAATTTTTAAGAATTTATACGATTCTATGATTTGTAGGAGGTTCTGTAGTAAGTGCGTGCTTTCAGATTTGAAAATTATTGCTTCGAAGGAAGATGAGAAAGTGTCGTTTCTAGTTTTCAATCGTTATCTGAAGAATTTTCTTTGGTATTCGTTTGCTATTTTAAATCTCGAAGGGGAAGTGTCGTTCCTGCAATTTTACTCGATAACTGAAGAATTCTCTTTGGTATTAATTTCCTGTTTTAAATCTGTATAGATGGGAAATTGTCACTTTTGCAATTTTAATTGATAGCTGAAGAATTTTCTTTGGTATTCGTTTTCTATTTTACATCTCGGAGGAGAAGCGTCGCTTCTGCAATTTTTATCAACAGCTAGAGAACTGTGCTTAGAATTTCTCTCAAATTGAACATTCTATCAATTCATAATAAATCACAATTTTGATTTTAATTTTCAGCCGAAGTATTCTACTCGCAATTTTTCCCAAACTGTTAACTTCTATCCAACGAACAAGTTCCCACGGATAGGTCGAAAATTTCGCCTCTCGCAATTTACTCCGAAATTCTTCAACTTCTTCTGATAAACAGTTTTCTAAACGGACGGTTCTCCCGCTGACAGGTTTACAAATATTTTCTCAGTAGCGAGATTAATCTATAGTCTGGTCGGAGGAGTAGAGAGCGGGTTTCGCGGGCGTTTTAATTGAAAGACAAACGAGGAGGCGGTTTTCCACGAATCACCCTGGTAAAAGGAGAGAGTTTTTCAGCGGACGATCGCGAATTCGTGGAACGACCCCGACGTGGCCCGTTAAACTCCAACGATTTGGACTTAATGAGCCGCGTTACATTAAAGCCCCGTCTTTTTGCCGGCGAACCGTTCGATCGCGAGGGAGTAGCGTGGCGCGCGCTCGTTAAACAGAAGACAAGCCCCGTGGTTTATGCCTGCTTCTGGTCGGCTTGCTTATAGGTGAGTAATTAATGAGGGGATAAAACGCTCGCCTGATAGATTTATAATTACGACGAATTTCCTTTCATTTCCAACAACATCTGTCTTCTACCGCGGATCTAGAGACGCTGTCGGCACCTCGTGAATCGCGAACACTTCAGTTCTATGGAAATACAGGGAGATCGAAGAATAATTCACTTTTTTGAATGAAACTTCAATCGACGAGAAGTTACTTGAATTTTCCGAGGTTCTTTCGGGATACCTGGTCAATTTTCGCAACGATACAGCTACTCTGTGTTCAGTATATAAATATAGAAAGACAAAAGAGAATGAATTTTTTAGAATCAAATGTGGCAGGTGCAAAAAATTGTTTAAACTTTTCTAGGCTTTTTGTGGTATAAAAGTAGCCTTCCCAGCGAATCATACTTAAATAGATGTAGGATAAATATTAAGACACTTACTGAATACAAAGCAAACTTAACCCTTTGCACTCCGAGTATTTTTTGATAAGATTAATAGTGAAACTTCTGGAAAGCCAAAGTTTTGTCTTGAAAAAAAAAAAGGATTTTTAGTGTTTACGAATTTATTTATTTGTATTTCTTCTGTTAAAATATAAAATAATATAAAAAAAGTCTGAATTGTACATTTCTCCAAAGTAATTACGCGTGTCGCCATAAAAGCGCCATTGGAGTGCAAAGGGTTAAACAGTCACTACAAAATTATTAAGATTGAATAAAAAAGAAGGTTACCAACATATTTTTCAAGGAAGCTAACTTAAATTTATTTGCCTTCTGTACAGATATAAAGGGTGCCCCAACACGTACAATATGAAGAAAGAAAAATTGGTATAAAAAGAAGACCAATATAAATCTGCTCCCGGTACATATCTAAACAATTATCCTTATCATTCTTATAAGCTACTTGGAGCACGTATATATCGAGCCCTTTCCTACAATCTAAACCAAATATTTTTCTTATTCCAGCCGCTAATCCCTGGCTCCCGAAGAAACTGAGAAATCCAATAAGGGTCAGCAATAAATTTCTCAACCTCACAAAACTTCACTCTCCGAAACTCCCTTCGGACCTTCTAAACTCCGCTCGATAACAGCGGTTACACAGAAACACGTGAGGAGAAACTCCAAGCAGAAGAAGGAACATACAAGCTTACAAATCAATTAGAAATCCACGTCTCTCCATTCAGACAAACTATACGTCCAGGGAACATGAGGAATTAGCGTGAAAGCAACGTCCCGAATGGGAGAAAAGGGATCCTCCCGGTGCGTGGCATCTGTGGACACGCACACGCGTCCACACACGGAGAACCCCCTTTTGCCAACGGAGGATACGTGTATTACACGCGTGTAAAATGACTACACGCGCGGTGATCCCTTTGATCTTCGGCCATTCATCAGCTCGCGTACACCCGCGGAAAAAGTCTAATAATATTGCGTTGCAACGCGACGTTCACGCGCGTGTGCGTGCGTGAAATGGCCAGATCCAGCGGTTCCACGCGACGATCCGCAGATGTACGATCCTGCACTCGATCTTCCCGCCTCGCGATTTATGTATTCCTCCTCGATTCTCGCGCGCGCGGGGAGGAACTGGTTGCTCCCGGGAGAGAAAACGAAATTCATCGTGGTCTCTAGAGAGGAGGAGAGCGGATCAACGGTTGCTTTATCGTAGGAACAGACGAGTCGGTCGACAATCGTGGATTATATTAGAGAAACGATGGAAGTCGACGTTATGCTTCTTGATCGAGATTGATAGCGACAGTCCAGCAAGATTTGGCCACCGGCTCAATGGCCGATTCATCGGAAGCGACGAAAATGGACGAAAGGTACATTGTGTTCGGAGTAA